TTACGATTTTTTAATTTTTATTAGTGTAATCTATTTTGTCTTAAATTATCTTATAATTATATTTTTGTATATTGCTACTTAAAAAAAATAATGAAACAGATGAAAGATGGTTTATTATATTTTTATATTTTATAATCAATCTTATCTGGATTTTTTAAATGTAATTTTAATTTTTTATTAATTTATTCGATTTTAATTGCATTTTTAGTATTTTATTTTCTTTTATTTTTCTTTAGCTTATGCTATTTTATATTAATTTTTTTATTTTATTTTCATAATTTTATTTGATTTTAATTTATTTTATTTTATGCTGCTTTTAAATTATTTATTACTTTACTTTGTCTAGACTTAATTTATTTTAATTTAATATATTTTATTTTATTTTGTTTTATATTTTTTATTTCAAGTTATCTTATTTTAATTTACTTAGTTTTGTATAGTTTATTTTTCATTTTACTTTATTTTATTTAAATGTATTCAATTTAATGTGTTTTTTTATTTTTTTTTTAAATTAGTCATATAAATTTTTTTACTTTTTATTGTTTATTTTTTAAATATTTTATAAATTAATTTATTTTTTTTTTTCTTTAAGTTATCTTATTTTAATTTATTTTAGTTAAAATAACTTAATTTAATTTTTTTCACTTTATTTAATTTTAATTTATTCCTTAAACTAGTTTATTTAACTTATTCACTTTTATTGTCTTTTATTTAATTTAATTTTTTTATATATTTTTTTTTCTTTACATCATAGTAGTTTTTTTAAATATATTATAAATTAATTTATTTTATTTTATATTATTTAATTTTATTATTTTTTTAATTATAATATTTTATTTATTATTTTTTATTTAGATATTTTTTTGTACTTTATATCATCGTACAATATTTTTCTAAAATATTTTATCTATTATTTTTTTTTTATTTTAAGTTATTTAATTTTATTATTTTTTTAATTATAATATTTTATTTATTATTTTTTTTTAAATTATATTGCTTATCCTTAACATATTTAGACATTACTTTTCTTGTGGTATTCTCTATAATAGTGTTTCATATTTTACCTCGTGTCTCTTCGCCTTCATATATCTTGTTATTAATATTACTTTTACTTAGCTGTCTGCTTCCGGCAACAAAATTTCTAAGTGCAGACAACTTTTCTCACTTTTTAGCTGCTGCAAATGTGTTTGCTTGCGTATCGTATGTGTGGTTAAATCCCCAAATGTGTTGGCTCAGTCCAGTAAAGCCGTTAGTTACGAATGAAATGAACCGAACATAACCAAAAAGTATCCCAAAACACAATTAAGTATGATTCCCCAACATAATAACCGTATTAGACATAGACATGATGTTAATGACATTAATTAACACAAAACAGCCACATAGACAGACTCATGTGAATATATGTATATGTGCATATATATGTAGGTACATGTACACGGGGATTAAGAGTCTTTTTGAAATGTGTAAATAAAAATGTAGTGTATGAGCTGCATCTGTTAGCCATATGAACACGTGTATTTGTTAATGAATGTGTGTATATGTATATGTCTACATTTATGTGTATGTAAGTTTTGTGCACATTAAGAAAGAGTAAGCATAAAAAGCCTGTACAATAAACCTTCGCACTAATAAAAAGCGTGAAGAGGTCCTTTCAAAATATTAAGAGAATAGTTTTAAGAAAAAAATAATGGTTTTTAGAACAACATAGAGGAAAACATAATAAAATATTCAACCAATATCGATCTATGAAAAATTTTAAAGTAAATAAAAACATTTTAAGAGTATTAAAATCATAATCATTTAATATCATTCAAAACATGGTATGAAATAACTAAGACCTGAAGAGCACTAGCGAATGAGTATGGGATAGTACAAAAAAGGGGAAAAAATAAAATCATCGTACTATTAATAATATTGCTGGTCAAATAGTCACCATTGATAAGTTCCTGCGTCATCAGCAATTGCAGAAAGATTCTATGTTTCACGACAGAACGATTCGACATTTTTAAAATCTGTAACGGTAAAATAGCATAGCAGTTATGGCCCAAGTGAAACTGCACAAGATCTGTGAACCTTTTAAATAGCTCTAGGAAAAGTACTTGTATATAGACTTACAGCCACAATTCGGCCTTTGAGGAGCATGCATATGAAGTGGGTCTGCCATTCGGTGTTATTTTCATATTCAAAGAAAAATTTTATTTTTTCGAGATTAAAGTTCGGGTGTTTATTTCAAGTAAGAGGAAGATATGGCATTAATAATTGAAAACAATATCATCTAAATGGCCGTCAGGGTTGCGCTTGTGTATCATTTTATGAAATTTTCTATCATCGAACCGCAAAGTGTCTGCTCAATAGCTTCACGAATTCCATCTTTGAAGTCATGAATCGACGTTGGCCTGTTACCGTTGACCTTATCTATTACGTGGTCCCAACCAAGAAATCGCATGGATGGTTTCTTAGCGTCGTCTTGTTGAAAGTAAGCGTTGTCCGTATCAATATCAACCAAATCATTAATCATCTCTCGTTATCTCTCCATTTATCAGCCACATTTTCGAAGAAGAAAGGTTCAATGAGGACAGAGGGGTTTTTCTACAAACAAAATTTTATATTTTTCGAGTCACCTCCACTTTTTGTAATTACAATATGTATGTGCGTGTGTACATACGTACATACATATGTATACCTACAGTGGCTGTTGGTCAAACGCCTACCAACAACCACACACGTCAAAACAAACTACCGCACAAAAAGGAGATGACAAAAACTAACAAAGCGACCGGCCAGCTTAGTGAAGACGGCGCGGGTCGCTAGCTACGCACAACAACAAACTACGTGCAAAGAAAACAAAACCAAGCGAAACTTCCTAACGCGATAAACAAAAATTGCGGGACAACAATTTAACAGCAAATTCGAACTGCTCAAAACAATAAAACAAAATATGTTTTTGGGGTGCACCCGAGGTGTGGTCCAACCGAACTGGTTACGAACCCACTCGCACTACTCCCGTGCTGCCGGGGGTAACTTTAACCCGCCTGTATGACTGGGCTCCGGGTGCGGGATGCTAGAAGGATGGGTAAGGACGTAACGAGGGTGGTGACACTGTCGGCACGACAAAACGTACGCAAACAATAAATACACGAAATGATACTTATCAGTTTCTCGGTCGGGTGTGGGTACCCAACTTCGGTGCTCCTCCGGATGATGTCGACGCCAAACTCTGGTTCCGCCACTGGAATATAAAAGAAAACCTATTTTGCACTGGGCTTCGTCTGCCCTTAAACAAGCCCCGACTGGCTTAAAACTTTCACTACTTTTTACAAGGCTTCAACTGCCCTTACACTACCACTTGCCTCGCCTGGCAAAACGCTATTATATTTAAAAAAAAATATCACAAATTTTTTGTTTGTTTTTTTTTCTTTTTTTTTTGTAAATCGCACGCCTGCGTAAAAAGAAGTTCGCACTCTTCTGTAGATTGCAAGAATCTGATCCGGCACGCACTTACGAGCCAGGCCGCAAGCTACGCGTCGGCCTTCAAAATTCTCCTGCGAGTGTGTATTGGTGCCCAATCATTTGGCGCCGCCCCCATTACCCAAAGGGACCGGGTTGTATAGCGCATGCCACCATGGCACACCAAGTACACTGGGATAACTTTTCCCCTCGCTGCAGTAAAGAAAAAGGCGACACCCCTTTTTACGGAATTCCCGCGCAAAGCATACCGTTGCCCTAATATTTGTTAGTGGAGGAACCGTTTTGGGGAACACCTCCTTTTGGAGACTTATACCACTGGGTAGGCACACACCGAATGCAACCGTGCCATCAATCCATGGCTTCAAATAATGCAACTATTTGCCGACAGATATCACTGCCAACGCTTGGAGTGAAAGGGAGCTTAGGCAAAACAAAGGAAATTAACAGACACACATAAAAGAAGTTTTTGTTGCGGCCAGTACGCGACACAGGTACGAAAGTTTTGCTTATTGACGATATCGTCGAGGTAGAAATGAGCCTCATTAGTCAACATGATTTCTCTATGAAATTTTAGATTATTTTCATACGTTTCAAGAACGCAATGAGCAAAGCAGCAATGTTATTGATGATCCGCTGACGTGTTCTTGTGTTAATTGAACTTTATAAGCTTTAAGACCCAAACTTCTATACAAAATTTGATGTAATGAGGAACACACTTAGGCCAATAGGCCCATTTTGATACCGCTGAGGCTCCTGCCTTCACCTTCTCAAATGATTGAACCATTTTATAAGGGCAAAGAGATTTCCAATGTTCACTAAGGCCAACTCAGCGAGACAGTCGAAAAGGTGTTTCCCAAGAAACTTATGTCACGCGGATGTCAAGGCAGAGGTAGTGCTCGAAGGTCTCCTCCACTCTTTCATCCCTGCAGCTGCGGAAGAAATCATTTGAATGATATCCCATTATTTCCCCGTGAAGCCCCATTAAACAGTGTCCAGTTATTATGCCCGTCGTTATGCTAATGGAAAACCGGTCTAGAAGGATAAGATGTTTTGATTTTTTCGCATCCGGCTTCGGCCATAGCTATTTGGTCACGTTACAAGTGATCTCGTTCAACCATCGTGCGTCAGCTTCCCTGGTGAAGGCCAGTTTAAGTAGGTGCTTAGCCGTGGATAGAAGAAAATCAACACGCACGGTATGTGCTTTATCGTGGATAGAAGGGTTCCTTCCCTTACCAGTACGTCCGCCATGCAATTGTCTGGGTTGTCCCTATGACTGAGTATCCAAATCAATAAATATAACATTTGGTATTAGTCGAAAAGTATGAATTTTCCTTAAAAGGCAGGGTTCTCCATACCTCTTCCTCATTTGACTACTTAGACATAAATATATTTATGATGGGTTATTGTCTACTATTTGAGCAATATTCGTCTAGTATTATAAGTTCATGAAAGTTAAAAAATGAAGAAAAGCTCAAAAATCAAAAAAAAAAATATTTTCCTAATTAATATTATTAAATTTCTCTTTGTAGAGCCGCACAAAAACTCGCACAAACACACAACTCTACAAAAAGTCGCACCGCCGAACTGCCAAATGCTAGTAGCGCACGAAATGGTGGCTTCTGTGGCGCGCTACAACGAGCGCCACCACCCATGCCACCGGGTTTGGCGCGACGACTTGCGAACAAGGAAAACTATGGTATCGGCAAGGTGAGTACAACAAAACATGAGCTTGAAAAATTTTTTTTCTTAAACACTTAGGGTAGAGTATAAAATCAAGTATCGCATGACGTGTGCCATAAAAACGCGAACCAATTATCGCCCTACGATTTACCGCTAATAACAACGTTATGTCAACATAATTCAACAGAAGAGTCAGTCGTCCAGGTCGTGGCGGCATATAATATGAATGTAATTTAAATTACAATCCACAGCAATTAAGATTACAATCGACAGAAATAAGCTCGAGTATAAACTGCTAGTCATAAGCGTTTGTTTTATGAGTAATATAAATATTTGACCTAACCTAGTACAACAAATTTGTCATAAAATTAAAAAAAAAAGAAAAATAATATTTTCAATCTTTAAATACTTTTTTTTTTTTTTTTTTTTTATTTTTTTTTTTTTTTTTTTTAATTTTTTTTTTTTTTTTTTTTTTTTTAATTTTTCAATTGCATCTGAAATATGTATTTTACGCACTCTCCCTCATAGGTTAAAGTCATGTTGCGTGTCTCGGATGCATACACCGACACCGAACAGACACATTTCATGGCGGTCGATAAGAAGAAACGTCAAGTGACGCTGACAGATCCGTCGGCGGCGAGCGCGGTTGCCGCGTCAACGTCACAGGAGCGTGGACCTATGGTGGCAGCGCCGAAAATGTTCGCTTTCGATAGCCTCTTCACGGCGGACGATCAACAGGTGAGTGCAAGTGTGTGTGTGTGAGTATTAGTGTGGGGGTTGTGCTTATCAGCAGCAAGAAAGTTTCTTAAATTTGCGCAATTTATCAAGCGGATGTGCGCAAATATAAACTCATTTTTCAAAACTTTTACTTCATTTAAATGTTTAAATTTTTATAACTCAAACTCTTTATTCTCCCCCTTTCTCTCTCTCTCTCTCTCTCTATCTCTCTCTCTCTCTCCACTACCCACAGTCCGATGTCTGTGCTTCCGCCTTGTCTGAGGTGATACCCGCCGTGTTGGAAGGTTCAGACGGTTGTCTACTTACGATTGGTTATCCGAACTCTGGTAAGTTTTTGTACTTTTTTTTCTTGAATTATCACTATTTTTCAGAATTTTATTTATTTTTATTTTTTACGCCAAGGGAAATGCGCAATAAATTCTACATTAAACGTAATCTCAACATGCTTATCGCACATTTTTCTGCGTTCTTTTTGCCCATTTTTCACATAATTTTCACTTGTGTTTCATTGTGTCTTTTGCAATTTTTTAATTTTACTATTTCTCTCTTTTTTTCCCCACACAGGTCAACCGAAGACCATGCTGGGTGGCGGCAATCCGCCCACGGAATTAGGTGCTATCCCCTGCGCCATCTCATGGCTGTACAAGGGCATTAATGAGCGTCGCCAGAAGAGTGGCGCACGTTTTTCAGTGCGCGTCAGTGCGTTGGGTGTCAGCGCTACGAAGCCGGATTCGAGTTCGAAGGATTTGTTGGCGGCGCATGCGACTGGTGAGTTGCGGGCGGGTGGGGGCGCAATCTGCATATTTTATTGTTTTATGTCTGCTTATGTGTAACAGGCTTGGCTTATTTAAGTTATTTTAAATTCTAGAATTAATGCTCTTACTGCAATGGCACTGCAGTAATTTGTACAACTACTTTAGGGTGATCCTTAAATGTGAATTAACAAAAAACAGGTTTAAAAATAAATTTTGCCAAGTGGAAATGGAAGTTCAAGTGCCATTTAGGAAAGTTGTAAAGATATTTTTAAAAGCTCAACACAAAGCTTCGCTTTTTAAGCTTGGAAAACTTCGCAGCAAAGCTTATCGGAGCAAGAGAGCGGGTATTTAGAAAGTACTATAGAAAACTGACGAGGAAGATTTTGATTTCCTTAGAAAAAGTAACTAAAAAAAGGTTTTTTTTAGCTAAACTTGATGCCTGCAACATCATATAAATGACTTATAGCGGTTTCCGAGACTCTACTCGGTTGGAGTTCTAATAGAATCACCTTCTAAGAGCTGCACTTATGTCACTTTCTACATTCACTGTTGCATGGACGTAGACCCATACTACCTAAACCACGTTTTGGTGAAAAAGCCCCTTTTCCAGTCTTCATCATGGTCGATATGTTTCAGTTGATTTGGAGAGATTTCGTCTAGAAGGCTAAACCTTAAGACTGGTGTGCCTAAGATACCTTATTAGCTCTTCTTGGCATTAAAAATTTATGTGTTTTTTATAAAGTCAGGGAACGGAGCTGTAAATTGCATACCAGATACTGAACATCATGCAAGTTCCACCCCTTCCTTTGTGTAAAAAATTGAGAAAATGTTAAAAAAAACCTTTTTTCCAAATCGAATTGTGGGCATGGAATTGAGCGATGGTACTCCGTCTCATCCCTATCATAGTTCACTAACTAATATTATAGGCCTTTATAACAGTAACAGTAATAGCAGCAAAGTGTGACCTTCCTTCCACCCTAGTCCCATACATCTCATGCATCCCATGCATCACTTGAAGTCGCATTTTTTGTTTTTTTTTAAGTCGAGGGCATCACTTATCCTGCGGTAACTAAAAGGTAAAAATTTTCATGCGTTTTAGTGCCTCTGCCATGGTCATCGTCAAAATTAGTAGGTCTCTTTACAGGTTTTTATTGTATTTGACCATTTTTTCATATACCAAATCCCAAGCTTATCACGCTATTTCGACTGAACTGTTCCTTCAATTTGCGATGAGTCCCCTGATGGATTTTGTAAGAAATGGTGGATTTTGCAGTGTATTCAAAGCTGCCTCCGGGCATCTGCTGAATTTTATGAGGAACCAGAATTACTAACGTTGCACTTAAACTGCTTTTTTATATACGAGAAAAGGATTATTTCTTCTACCTTTTATTCACATAAATTCGATTTTGTGGCGTCTCAAGTAGAATTTCTCCGAAATCTGTTGTGTCTTCGAAGCTAGCATTTTAACCATTGCTAGGACATCATGGTCTTATGTACACAGCGAGCAACTTGAAAAACGAGAAAATGATTGAAACAACATTTGCCTCTTTGCCATTGGTTGCGACAAAATAATGAGGGGTTCTTGGCCGCAATAAGAAGCCTCCTGACACACACATTAGGAAGGCAGATGTAGACGATGGACTCCCCCAAACAATACATAAAAGAAACGACATGGACTTGTTGCACTAAAAACCGGCCTTCTACACCGTTTACAATGTGTCAGCCTCTTTTAAAGAATGGTGTTGTCGATACCAGCCACCGCATACTGCAGATGCAGAGCTCGTGCTACGCTGTGAGTTCCGATTAATAGTGGCACTGCTAATATCTAGATATTGTAGTGGACCTAATGCCTCCTTACTAAAACTCGACTCGGGCATAATTAACGTATTTCCGGTTTGAAATAGTCATCTCACTAAAATAATCACTTTGCCTTTAATCTGACACTTTCGTCCGTTAAATGTTCTCGACAACCTAACTGTGCTTGTTCCAGAATGTAGGTTTTTCGCCATCCTTTCAGTAAAAACATCAAGCATCATGTTAAATGTAGATAAGGATGGTCCAAACTCACATGGAAGACATCCGTCTGAGTGATGTGTTGATGATGCTTTTCCAACTAAACAAAAGATTATTACACTCAGAGGGCTTGCTGTTCTCACCGAGTGTTGACCGTCTTTAGATTGTAGGTTCGGCCAAGACTCGAATACATGAGACTCCGAAAAGTACAATAGTTGCTACCCAGTCGGCTTCAGCGGCCATCTATATGACCTGTAGTACAGCAGTTTAATACCATTATTCCTTCAGCATTGTTCTCTCTATCAACTTGCACCCTCAACCAAACTGTTGCAGCAAAGGTTCTAGAAACATGTTGGCATTTCAGGTGCACACACTCAATCATAACCAACTCATCTTTAAGGCGAGGCAGATTGAACTGTATAAGTTTCACTCGTTCAATCCAAACTCAAGAGCTGTAGGGAATTTCCATCCCATTATCCACCAGGGTTTTTATCGTTACTAAGATCTCTATGATATAGCAGAGAAAGTAGAAGAGCCTAGCTTTACAACTATTACTATATTCTCAAAATCTGCTGTACGTGACTGCAATCTCGGAAGATATTATTTACTTTACCGGCGTAGACACCGCTTGCACTCGAAAACTCTCAAAGCTGGAGTATCCGAATCCATCCGGTACACATGACGCTCAAAAGACCATAAGTCTTACACGAAACCTTTCTCTTGAAAACTCCTAACGCCGACTCTTCAGATGTTGTCAACGTCCATGATTCTGCACCATATAGCAGGACGGGAACGATGAGGGACTTGTAGAGTTTGGTTTTCGTTCGTCGGGAGAGGACTTTACTCTTCAATTGCCTGCTCAGTCCAAAGTAGCACCAAGGCTGACATTGTTGTTGGTGTTAATACTGGTTCCCAGACAAACGAATGCGATAACAGTTTGGTTGATGACAGGAGATATTTCGTCTTGTCCTTATTCACTACCAGACCCCTTTGATTCGCTTCTTTATTAAGCCTGGAGAAAGCAGAACTGATCGGCTGTGGAGGCCGTACGTCAGCAGCTGTAAACTTTTATAGAAGATTGTAACTTCTCTATTCAGCTTTGCAGCTCTTATCATTCTCTCCAGCATCGAATTGTTGAAACCACAAGACAAAGAGTCACCCTGTGTGAAACCTCATTTGGTACCGAACGGCTCGGAAAGGCCCTTCCGAATTCTGGCTGGGCTTCTTCCAGGAAGATATATTGACTTTTAATTGTTTAATTTTTTATGTTTCTTGATTAAAAACACAAGGAGAATTTGAATTGTATACAACTAATCCACACCTACAGCACACGTTTTTCTCAAATTCTTTCAAGGCTTAACATATTTTCATGTTCTCTTTATTTCTGTCTTCTTCTTTATGTGCGCAACATCAGAATCCGATGACTCTCCCGGCGTGTACTTACGTGACGACTTTCTTGGCGGACCCACCGAGCTGCGTGCACCCACCGCCGAACGTGCCGCTTTGTTCCTAGACGCAGCCCTCGCCGGACGACCACAAGGTGGCCTCGAGCCAGCCATGATATTCACACTGCACGTCTACCAATACAGCTTGTCTCGCAAAGGCGGAGGTAAGTTCACATTCAGCGCATATACCTTAATCGCCAGTAAACACAGACAGAGTCAAGGCGAAATAATTGGGAGTTCCAATAAGGCAATACCAATACAAATTCACCAACTCTGTGGACACACTGTAGACACTATGTGCTAAAATTTTAATGCACTTATTTTCATATGAATTTCACAACACCTCCCCAAATTCTCTCACAACCACACAGTGGCCGGCGGACGTAGTCGTTTACATCTCATCGATTTGGGCGGTTGTGCGAACCGCAACGGTGGACTACCACTCTCCGGCATTGGCAACATACTATTGGCGATATTGAGTGGACAGAGGCATCCGCCGAATAAGGACCATCCATTGACGCCGCTGTTGAAAGATTGTCTGGCGCCGTTGACGTGTCATGTCGCCATAATGGCGCACGTGATGCATACGCAGGTGAGTCGCAGCGACGGTGAGAGCAGGCAGAGTGTACCCTTTGTGGTCTGACGTGGCGAGTATGAATGTGTAATGGAGTGTTTCGTTGTTGAGCGCATAATTGGTATGCTCTTAAACGGTATTTTTGAGTAGCACTTCAGCTCGGACTCGTACTCGAACTCGAACTCGTACTAACACACACATACACACACTGGCCTGGCGTGTCATTGTTGTTTTGAGCCGCTTAATTGGACAACAATTTTATAATGTGCCTGAGTGTTGAATGTTGTTCACTGAAAGTCGGCTGAAAAGCTGGCTAACCGACTGGTGGTTGGTCAATTTATCGCACATTCATAAAATCGCCCTCAACGCGTCCATTCTCATTCATTCATTTGCCGTCACAATGGGAATGACAAATGACTTTCAATTTACAATTCTTTTTCTTTGCTCCTCTCTTACAGTCACACACGGATGCCCTCACGACGATACAATTAGCTTCACGCATCCATCGCATGCGTCGACGTAAACATCGCTTCCCGATGCCAAGTGACAAGACCGGCGTGGGAGGACTGGCGGCGGGTGTTAATGGAGGTAAATTGATAGGGGTATTAAATGTAGCACGAAGGGGGGGTAAAATCACTGAAAGGTATGCGTATGCTACGCATAATTACAAGCAAGGACGAGTGTCCTTGTAATGTTCATTTTAGTGTTGACTCTATATTTCTGAGCTGAATATCTGCCACATCTTTGCCAGCCCAGTCGGGCTAAACGGTCAGCAACACAACAAAGACATCAAAAGGATATTATGCGGGATGGCCACTGAAGCTTTCTGCTAGATAAAGATTTTAAAGTCTGCTGAGGAACGATTTGATGCGTGTCCCGATTCATTACGTCTGGGAGTTATGACATTTATCGTTCCTGGCTGGAATATAGGAACCAACATGTGGAAACCAAGAACGTCGTATCTATTTAAGATCATTAACTAACTGCAAGCTGCAGCCATTTTGAACTATAATCTTTTCGGAGCCAAAGTTGGATCCAGCGCTTACCAAAATTTGACTTCATATTCTTTTTTTTGTATATAAAGAGTAGTCTTTTGGGGCTTACTCTTAGTCCCAAAATGAAACCTTTTTGCGGGATATGCTAAAAAAAGAAACATCTATCTTAACACCCTTCCTTATTTTCTCATTCACAACTACTTATCTTTCATAGGCCACCAATCAACTGGCTCATCGGCTGGTTCTGGCGCAGATCCCTCCAGCTCGGAGCTGTCTGCTGACACTGTCATCTACATGGGTCCGAGTGATGATGCGACGGATGGCGAACATCCGCCTGTGTACTTGCCTTCGCTTAGCAGTGGCGACAATCGTTGTGTGATGAGTAAAGCGCTAAAGGGTATTGGATTGGAAAAGCAGCAACAATCACCAGCGAAAAGTGCTGCGGGCACACTGAAAAAGACGGCTGTACAGAAAGGTAAGTAAGCATTGCAAGTCAAATCATATTTTCAAACTGATTCTTGTGCTCATTTCACTCCAACAACTTTAAAATTATTGTCACTTTCCTCTGTTCTTCCTTTTCTTTCACTCAATTCCCGCCACAGTCCCACAAAGTCCCACCATTAATGCGTCGAGTCGCACAGGCAGTCTGAAACGCGGTCACGTTAACAGTCCCACACCAGCGCAACAACAGCAGATGCCTCAGCCGACGCCAGCTAACAGCGACCAACAGCAACAACAGTTTTTTTCGCCTGTACACAGCGTTAAATCGCTCTCACATTCAGCCTCGTCATCGAAAATTGTGGCTGGCAGTCTGCGACACCCCGGCATGGCTGGTGTGATGTGTTCAAAAGGCTCAAATGTGCCATCGCCTAAGGGCTCGCCACTACGACGACCCGGCGTTGGTGCTGGAGGTACTAGTGCTGCCGCCTCCGCTGATTTACACGACTGTCCCGGCAGTCCGATGCGCAAAATAAGCGAAGAGCAATGGATTGACGGGCCGCGTGTATCGCGCGCAAAGGTAGCCGAAGCGCGTCACTTGATGCGTGAGGTAAATCATGTGAAACAATGTGAGACATGGATTGACGGTCCCAAATCACAGTCGGCACGCTCGCTGACCGCCGGCAATTTGCCCACAGCGCCGTCGCAGGTGCAAGGCTACGGCTTCATGGATTCGCACAAGAAATCGATGATACGACAGTGGGTAGAGAATCAGACATCGCAGGTCTTCCAAACCACTTCGGCGGCGTCGTCGCCTACACACGGCGCCGGCACAGCCGCCCATCGCGACCAACAAGCGCAGCATTTGCGCAACATCACCTACCACATGTCGCAGTTGAAGCAGAAGTCTCTGGATGCACCGGAAGATTTGTACGCGACGAGCACAAGACAATTACAGCATCAACAACACAATACACAACAACATGCCTCACAACAACAATTACACATACAGCAACAATCCACGCTAGCCATGGATCAGCAATTCTTGCTGTGCGCCAGCGAGGCGGAGTTGGCACAAGCCATTGCCATGGGTCTCTCCACAGCCGTGAGCACAACGAACGCCTCAGCGCCAGCGGAGATACGTGGCTCTAAGCCGTTGTACCATCAACGCCAGTCCAGCGCCACCGGTTCGCTTGGACTTGCACAGACAACAACAAAAGATGAGACTGATTTACATTCAACGCATTCGCATATCGGCTACGGCACCATTTCACAGCAACTACTCAACCTCGGCACTTCGGCAGCGTCGGAGCATGGTGTTGGCGTGAGTGGACATCATAGCGATCGGCAAGCAGAGTGTGATGAAGACCAGGATAGTGGTCCATCGGAGGTGCCACCAGCGTTGCCGCTCATAGAGCCGTTGGGTTCACGTGAAGTTTCACACGAAAGTCTGCATCGCATATTGTCGAGACATGTGTCACGCGAATCCTTGTATCAGCAACAACAACATCAACAGCAACAGCAGCAGCGAGAACAGCAACTAGAGCTGCAACACAATGCACCCTCAAGGCAGTCATCGCATCACTACTCCCAGCACAGCATGGGCATGTCCGATTGTGGACTGCAGGTAACAGAGGAGGAGATAGCGCGCACAATGGGCGGGTGAGTAGCAGGATGGTGGCGATTACAAGATTATACAAAATGCAGTTGAAGACATGAAATAATAAATTTGTATATTCTCCTTTACTTCTTTCCCCTCCACACAGCGAACATCCACTGGCGGCACTCAGTCACGTTGACAATATGTCCATTGTGTCCAGCTTCAACATGGCCGGCGATGCGTTCAGCGACTGTGCGATGGGTGAAAGAACGAGGTGAGCTCAAGCTTTAATACCATTTGGAAAAATTTATTATTTCAAATTTTTTTATTCCACTTCTGAATTTTATTATAATATTTTATGTTTTACCTTTTTCTACTTTTAGAAACCAATTCGATCAATTAGCGCGTTTACGTGAGATTTTCACCTCACAGCTGGCCATGGCCGAAGTGACGCCGGTCTTTCGTAGCGGCTGTGACGTTGGCAGCGTGTATAGTGAGCCGGCATATCGCTTCAACACGGGTCCGGGCAGTGTGTGTAGCGAACCGCCGTATAGGCCACCAAGTCCGAGGTGAGTTAAAGTTAATCCAAGAGTCGACGTACCATAACATTTGTTTGGAGGTTATGAATTTAGATCCAATCTCTTGTCTTCTCTGTAACTCGATAAAATGGTTGCATGTCTTGGTGTGACTAAATCCATTTCTCCATTTCCACAAATTTAGAACTCGAAACTTGGTCTACCGAATGGCAGTACGCAATTCTAAGAACTCTGCTGCAGCGACCGCTCACGATATCTAACCCTATATAGATTAGACTTGGGTAAATTTCTTCATTCAGGGCCACACTGACAATACTACTTTTATTAGCATTCTTCCATTATTACTTCTGCTGTGTCGGCTCTTAAAGCGATCTTTCAAGTGCAATCCGCAGAATTTATTTCGTCTGCCCTTCTTTAATTTACCACGTATTTAAAGTCGTTGGGTTCCTTTAAGGTCCTGAGTGTTAAGCCATCATCCTCTTCTAGAGTCTTGTGCTTTCAGTTCCCTAACTCTGGTAAAACACGCTCTCTTTTAATCTTTCAAACATTTTAAAAACTCTAAAAAATTATTAATGGATGTATCCGAAGGGACCATTTTCCCATTCGTGACTAATGAAACCATACGCTCTTTATTTCCGTCCCCCGCTTATAACAGACAACCCTCACGCAGCCCCAGCCAAGGTAGTCTACCTAGTTTGAATGGCATCATGCAAATAGCCGGCATGGAGCAATATGCTTCCTTGCGTCATCCCGACGGTGCTTCCGATCCGAATTTGCCAAAATTGGAGAAACCTTTTGTACTCGAACATGAAGATATCTGCGAAGTAGATGAAAAATCCGCATTACTCTCACCCTCAAAACGACCGTCATTGGAAAAGGAACACCTACCTGGCGTAGGTGGCGCTGCAATGCCATCGACGTCACAAACTCAATTACCATTGTTGCCATTGAACACGAACACATGTGAAGCTTACGACAGCGGTCACGATTCATCAACACCGCGCACTTCAAAACATTCAGGTATCTCGCGACGTGCTGAGAGCGGTTATCACAGCGTGGCGACAGCGAGAGATAGTGATGAGAGCAGCTTTACCTCGGGTCTCTCAAAAGAGCATCACAATCGCATAACAATGGTGAAAAAGAAGCGACAGGACAAGGGGCTGTGTAATTGGCTGATGAATCCATTCACTTGCACCTATCCGGAGACCGAAGGTGAGATTAGCGACTTTTAAAGTGTTAAGCGAATGAGAGCAAGAAATAGAGACGAGAGCGGTACTCGAATTTATAATACATATGATAACGGTTAGCGAAGCAGCGCAGCAAAAAGTTGTGGCAAAAAAATGAGAATTAGTAAGTAAAAAAATAAAGCGCCAAACCCACCAAAAAACTATTGCGCGCCCAAAAAAAAAAAAAAAGTAAAGGGAAAAACAATAACAAAAAGCATGCCAAATTTTTACTTTAATATTTAAAATAATATTATCTAGTGTTCTTTTCTTCGGTAGTAAGAAAGCCAATGGTTTTATGTGGCAGTGGAAATGGCGACTGAATTTTTTTTAAAGAAAATTTTTTTAACAAACATACATACATACAAATCAACAAAAATGGATTTTTAGCTAAATAGTATTTAGTAAAAATAAAAAAAAAAATAAAGAAAAAAATAATAAAAATAAAATTATACAAAAGCCATTCGTATTGTGAAAGCTTATGTTCCATACTTTTAATATTAATGTAAAGATTTATATGTGCGGCTATGTGTAAGCTTAACTAACAAAAAAGTGGGGGGAAACTTGGGAAAAAGCTTAATAAAACATATATGTAAATATATATTCCATATTCACTCCCACTAGAACAAAGCTGAATTGAATCTAATTTTCAAATGATTGAAAGCTACTACACTATGCGAAAGCTCTTCCACTTGTTAAGTTTATGCTACGACTATGCTTTATCGCTGAGCTTTGGGGAATCAAAGCAGCTTAATTCTTGCGCACATCTATGCGGAGTACTTATAAACTATTGATCAGATTGTGAAAGCTTAATGGGAGACTAAACCATGCTGTTTAAGGTTGAAAACAAATATATTTTTTCCAAAAAGCTTTCGAAATCAGATGTTATAACTGCTAACTAAACTTTAAACGCATTTGAAATACACATATATGTAAATGTCGTAAACTGCTGACTTTAAAAAGAAAACGAAAGTTCATAGTGTGCTTTTTTGATGCCGAAATTGCTTCGCAGCTCATTAACTTGTTTTTTATATTTTCATAAAAGCTTTTTGTTTAAGTTTCGTAAGAGCTATTTAGCTATAAGGCTTTTGAAGTGGCTTTTAGCAGCTTTGTAAAGTAACTTTTTATATTTTAACCTGAATTCGGTATATTCATACAATAATTATAAATTTTACAGCAAATCGTGTACACCTTTTTTGCAAAGCTTTAAGCCGAAAGCTATATAACTTAGTTTATTTTAAAAGTTTAAGAGCTTAAAAGCCCGACGACGTAAGTTTGCATAGCTTTTGAAATTCGCGTCTTCATTTTGTTAAATTTTAATACTTTTCTAAATGAAAGCTTTAATACATTAGAAAACATTTTTTTAAAGATCTTTTCAATAAATTGCTTTACATGCTTAAAGCAATATTATAGACAAAAGCTCTGCGAAACAAAATTACTCATTTTATATCCTTTTTTGAATAATTCCCAATTGAGAGAAATTATCAAGGCGAATTTATATAAGGTGAAGGTGTCACATCATATGTTTGCTTGTTCTTCCTTCGATTTCAAAAAATTACACAAACAAAATACATTGAAAATTCCTTGAGAATAAATTTCGTATTTGACTTTTCGAAGCCACGATTGCACAAACAAAATATACAGGCTTTTTGTTTTTGTATTCTTGCTACCACAGCGTGTAAATTTGCGTTGGAAAATATTTGAAAAACTTTTTTTTTTTTTTTTTTTTTGAGAATATAATCATAATATGAAAACTCCCTAAGTATTTTTGCCGAGCAAAAGATGTTTTTTGATTTGATCTGTAAAAGCTCTATGCCGAACGAAAGCTTCATCATCCTAAAGCTCTCCCATATATGAATATAGCCATATTTTGTTATGCACGAGTATAACCAAAAACTTCTACACTACCCTAGCATAAACCTCTTAAGCTTCGAAAGCTCTAACCTAACTCTCGCGCTACTGTAAAATAATAAACTAAGGAGTTGAAGAACTTATGAAAACTACACTACTAATTCCTTGCCTAATCTACACTTCTTTTGAAACTAGCTTGCATACAGCTTTCTTGAAAGCTCACCAGCAAGTTTAATTTTTACTGCTTATTTTTAAATTTTCCACTTGATTTTTTTGCTACCCAATAAACTCTAAGAAAGGAAACTAAGTAAATTAAAAAAAAACTAATAAAATTAAAAATAAATCAGTTTTTTCTTTAATTAATTGTTAATAACTTTAGCTAAATTTAAGTATATAAATGAATGCTTTTTTCTTAGTGAATAAAAGGAGTGTTGAACGATATGAAAGCTACAAACTATAAAACTTAAGTACTAAATAGAAATTTTGTTGCCAGTTTTGCCTATTTAAACTATGTTAAATTTTTTAAAAGTTTATCTGTAATTATAGCGACATACATATACATATATGTATTGTATGTTCATATGTATGGTAATAAAAATATTAAAAATAATTATAATGAAGTAAGTAAATTTAAATTAACTTAAATAAATGTATAAATGCATTTGATATTCGATATATGTATATATATATATATATTTATATAAATACATATACATACTAATCAATATATATACATGCATAATTATATGTAATTATTATTATTATTATAATAAATAAAATTTATTACAAAACTTACAAGCGCATACAAATAATAATGAAATATTTGAAATAAATTTAATAAAATTACAAAAACATTTTGTGTAAATGTGTGTGTGTGTGCTAACAGAATTTTTTGATCAAATTTTAAATAAAAATTAAAAGAGAAATAATTCTGAAACTGGACAAATGTTGAAAAGCAGGAGCTAAAATAGCTTTAATGGCCGATTAAAATTAATTTTAGCTTAACTGGCAAATAATGAATCAAAAATTTTGCGCGACGTTTTTGAAAATTTTGAATTTTTATTTAACTAAAAAAACTTCCAAAAATTACTCTTCTCAATTAATAAAAAATTTATTCAAAAATCAGTGAAATCAGCACAAATAATTGACTTTTTTTAACTTTTATTTCCCAGAAAAGTGCGAAATATTATTTAAAATAAATTATATTAAATATAAAATTCAAAATATTTTATTAAAAAATAGAAATTATTTATTTTAACTTCTGCGCCACACATACACAAATAAATAACTGTATTGTTTATATAAACTATTAATAGTAATAAACATTATGCTGAAAACATACCCACACATATGCATGTAAGTAATTAAATTAAAAAGAAATATTATTAATAATATAATTGAGTATTAATTAATAAATAAAAGGAATATTATTGTAATTGAAATTTATTACGAAGCAGCAAGGAAAAATTTGCTATAAAAATTTGCTATAAAAATATACATACACACATACATACTAATAAATAAAATAAAATAACTAACAACACAAACTAAGTGAAAAAGAACTGTGGAAATAAAAAATAAAGAAGAAACACTTTTTTAAAGCAAAAAAAAAATTAAAAATAAATAAAATTTTCTTTCTGGGAAAAATTGTGTTTGAGGTAAGTTTTTAAGTATATTTTCCCCTACCAAAGCAGGGAGGGTGCAAGGGAAATTATTCGCACAAAATTGTGAGCAAATTTCTCTGCTCCTTGTACTGCTCTCCCACCAAATATTGCATTATTCCCCATTCAAATGCATTCAAATATACAGTCTTTACCAAAAGTATTAGGCAACCCACTAATTACTGATTTTTTTAATTTAACAAGTGAAGTAATGAAGTTTTATTAGTTAAACAGTGAAAATATAGTGATAATGACATTGATATTTACTAGGTCCACCCTTCGATTTAATCTCTTAGCCATGCTGCGTACAAGCTTTGCACATTCGTTCGCACTTACAGCGTACCACTCGTTAATTAAGGCATTTTTTAAGGCAATTTTTGATGTTATGCCGTGTTTCTTAATCTTGCGTTTTAAAATAGTCCACACATGCTCAATGGGATTTAAATCTGGAGACTGCGCAGGCCAATCTAACAAAACAATGTTGTTATCTCTACGCCACGCATCGTAGTCTCCGATTTGTGACAAGGAGCATTGTCTTGCTGAAATTGAGCCCCGTCTAAATTAGTAACGCCGAAAATGCGCGTTAACGAAGGTAGAAAAGCAGCTTCCAATACATTGATTTACTTTTGACTGTCCAGCCAACCCTCGCAAACGCACATTTCGCTGACACGTTCAGCAGCCATGCAGCCCCAGATCACAACGCTGCCTCCTCCATGCTTAACAACGCGTACCACGCAAACTGGATGATATTCTACCCCAACTCGTCGCCTTACAAATCTCACACCAGGTGTTCCAAATATCTGTAGAAAAGAAAAAATAATGTTTTCATAAGATTTGTCTTATGTCTTCAAAATGGCTCTAGGGTAAAAAGCTATGACTGTTAATACTTTAAGACCATCGTAGCCAAGCTTACCTCGAAGTTTGATTCATCAGACCACAGAACATTCGACCAATCTTCTTCTGTGAAATGTTGGTAACGGCCAGCACATTCCAACCGATTTTGACTATTATTTTCTGAGAGCGACGGCTTCTTTCGGACTTTACATCCTTTTAAACCTGCTTCCAGAAGTATTCTTCCAGCTGTTCGAGCACTAACTGGTTGACTAAATTCATTCGAAAGTGCAGCTGCAAGGGCGGAAAAAGATTTTTTGCGATCCTTGAGAGACTCGCGCATAAGTATTCCGTCTTCTCGTTTACTAATTAGGCGCTTTCTTCTACTTTTTGATTTACTGTTGTGGAATTTCGTCTCCACAAATCGCCTAATAGCTCATTGGACCGCGAACATACCACCAAATTGGCAATCTCAACCTGAGACTTACCTTCTTCACTTAGAACTTGAATTCTAACTCTGTCATTGTAACTAATTTCACTTTTTTAAGGCGTTTCAGTAAACAAAATTTACACCTTCACTTTCAAATTTTAAATCGGAAAATATTTCATGAATTTCTTAAGAATTACAATTTTTAGACTTAACTTACCCAGAGTGCTATGACCTTTAATATTACACAATTTATTCGTTTAATCAACAGTTAAGCACTCATGTAAGACAGCTACATTTGAGAAATACTTGTATTTTGGTTGGGTGCCTAATAATTTTGGCCAAGGCTGTACATATACCATTTCGTGCCTTCC